CCGTTCCATGGTGTAGAAGTGCAGATTCCAGGGCAAAACTGGCATACTGACTTTGCATGTGCACTGCACATGCATGAATGTCAGCCATTGTGTATTGTTTAAAAACTACGTATACATGCCGTGGCGATAGGTGTGCATGATAAGTGTATACACGCAATAGGTGTGTATTATACACACATACCTAAATTCCCCATCCCTTTCTTGCTGATCTTAATACGATTACTCACAGAGTAAAGTGTGTGCCAGTGTAAGTTTTATTAGATAGAACCTGGCCATTTCAGTTGGTACCAGCAGTAGAGGCAAAAAAGAAAGTCTTTACTAGGAGTTGATACGTTTTCTATGTGAATGAAGCCATATTGTGCGAGACATGTCTGGGCTCATTCACCTGTGCTGGAGCAAAGCCCTCATTCTTTCCCCAAAAGAGGCTTTGAAAAAATTATTGCTTTTGTTTTAACTTTTCCAAAAAGCGGTGGGGGCGGGGGGTATTATTTTGCTCAAAGCTCATGGCCCAAAATACCAAATCCTCTTGTTGCTAAGATTAAAGTGTTTTTGCTCCTTGGATTTGATTTAATTGCAAAGACCAACCAGCACCTGGATTATTGCTCTTTCTTTTGCCAGACGGAGCAAAGGTGCTTAGAGAACATTGTGCTTAACGTAGGATCAGAACTGCATGTGATTGTTAACAACATGATGGTTTGGGGCCTTTTTTTCTGCCCCTGGCACAATCCTTCCCCCTTCCCCACCATGCACACTTTTACTAAAATGAAAAATAAAAATCTACTGAAGACCCTCTACTACTTGTTCTAAACACACAGAGTCAAAACAGCTACAATGTGGAGAGCTATTTAAAATGTAATTTATTTCATTTCTTTTTAAATTAATAAAATACCCAGATAGGCACGCTGATCAGATGTATGGGTTTACATCCTTTTTTTATGTGTTTTTATGCATGCACTAAACTGTTTCATTTCCTTGTTTTGTTTTTTCCCCCAGGCTAATGCCATATGCAAAAATAAAATCTAACTAATTAACTCAATGCTGGCAAGGTTATAAAAACCAAGCAGAAAACAGAAGATTTTTTCTGTGACAAGACAGTGACCTCAACATTGACCTAGAAAGACCATGTGGTCTCTAAGACAGGAGAATGAATTTAGTTGTGTTAGTTCTGGTCTTATAATGAAATACAGATAACAGGTTGTGTCTAATTGTACATGATGGTTTTATGATATCCATGGCTACTGAGCCAAGGTACTGATGTCACGTATGAGTATATCAGCTATTGTTAAACCCTTTTCCTGTATTGTCTGCTCTGTTTCCTTCTTCTCTTCTCCCACCTCCAAGTTGTTATGTCTTGGATCATTACCTAAAGTTCATTTCAGTTAATGGCGACCCAACACTATTAAATCTCACCATTAGCGTACATGCCATATTAGTGCCTTAGGCTACGTCTAGACTGCATCCCTCTGTCGAAAAAGAGATGCAAATCAAGCACATCGAAATTGCTAATGAAGCAGGGATTTAAAGATCCCGTGCCCCATTAGCATAAACATGGCTGCTGCTTTTTTTTTAAACCGAATATTTTTGAAAAAAAAAACGGCAGTCTAGATGCGGAGCTGTTGAAAATAAAGCCTTTTTCGACAGATCCTGTATTCCACAAAAAATGAGGTTTATAGGATCTATCGAAAAAGGCTTTATTTTCGAAAGATCCACATCTAGACTGCCGTTTTTTTTAAAAAACCCTCTGTTTCAAAAAAAGTGGCGGCCATGTTCATGCTAATGAGGCACGGGATATTTAAATCCCTGCTTCATTAGCAATTTTGCTGTGCCTAATCTACATCACTCTGTCGACAGAGAGATGTAGTCTAGACACACCCATAGTGTCTCTGCTCATAGAAAGACTGATCCAACTCCCACTAAACACAATACAGGCTGCACCTCTGAAATCCGGGATTCTATGGTCCAGCAACATCTGTGGTCCACCAGGACCAAGGATGTTTTTGGCTCAGAGAGCCCTGGTGCCCAGGAGTGCGAACCCGTCCCTGGGGAGTCCCGGTCAGGTGGGAGAGAAGTGGGGCTGCACAGCTGGGGAGCTCCATTCCTGAGGAGCCCTGGCCAGATGGGAAAGCAGCAGGATTGCGGCAAAAGTGGGGCAGCCTGTAAGCCCCGTCCCTGGGGATCCCTGGTCGGGTGGGGGAGAAGTGAGGCTGTGATAACTGGGGAGCTCTGTCCTGGAGAGCCCCAGCAGGCCAGACCCCAAGTCCAAGCTGTGCAGGCTGGAGCCTAGTAGCAGTGGGTGTCAGCCGACGGTCAGGGCAGTGTGTGTGTGTATGTTTCCGAGAAAAGGTTTAACGTCCGTGCCTTTACTGCTAGGACCGGGGTCCCATCGCAGAGGGTGGCCAGCAGGCCAACAGATGCCCCGTTATATAGGAAGAGCTTATTACATCTTAGATTTCAGCTGCTAGAATTCATAATTCCTTCGCAGCGGGCAGCCTTGGGGAAAGACTGAAAGATGCCCCAGTGGATCCTGTCACCTGGGAGTGACACAGATCCAAACGCCCAAGCTCTTCCTATAACTGTCCCTTTAGACCGGCTGAAGTTCTTTTAAATTGTGCTTGGTTCTGTTACAGCAACTGAAGGAGTCAGGTTAAAGCTTAAACAGTTACAGGTTTATTGAGGAAGCTTATAAATCATATGGTTGCAATGGCTATTGCTCTATTTCTTAACTACTAGCAAAATATAGATACTGCTAGCAAAATATAGATTTTAAAAATGGTTACAAAGAAGATAAAGATAGAAAAATAGAAATAATGGTACCAAGTAACAGCTTACTCTTTCTATGTGTACACTTAAGACAGAGGACCACATCCAGGTACCATTTTTACCCCCTTCTGTGCCTCTCGACTCCAGCATGTCAGGCCAGGGCCGGTCCCTCAATTCCTAGGAAAGACGAAAATACGAGGTGGGCGTCCCCATAGAACCTCGGGAGGCCAAACACCTAACCCGACCAGCAGGTAGAGGGTAGAATGACACTCAAAGTGAGTGTGTGCTGGGCCCATCTTATATACTCATGGGGTCACGTATTTTCTCTTTCTTATCTGTCATGCCAAATGGGGCTGGTCTGTCTTTTGTGAGACCAGTTCTTACAAGGGAGTTGTGAACTTAATTTACACTTGTAAGAGAGATTTGAGATGATTAAATTGGAAGTACGGGACATTGTTTTCTCAGTGGGAAATTCCTCTTCCAGGGACTGTGTGTGTGTTCGAATCAACATAGGTGCCAGCCGGTGGCAGTCTCGCATATCCTGATCTCTCCTCATATCTATGTTTCAGCTTCTCAGGATCAGATGAGCCAGCATAGACTATGCTGATTTTATTGCTCCTTCTCTGTCCTGTATGCTTCAGGGAGGCAAATAAGATGCATGATGTGGAGGCGGGCTGTCTGGCCACAGTGGGGTAGGAGCAGAGTCATCTTCAGGGAGGGGGAGTGTCCTGGGAGGCCAGTGGCAGGGGACCTCCCCATATCCGGCAAATTCTCTCATTCAGGATGGGTCAGGTCCTGAGGGTGCTGGACAAGGGAGGTCAAACCTATACAAATATATCTGTTGAGTCCAATGGGAGTGGGCTCAGGAGTGGTTTCCTTTGAATTGTTCTGTCTATTGGGTGGTCCTGGCCTGCAGTGAAATGGAAAGAGCTTCTTCCACCTGAAAGTGAGGAGGTTTTAGGAATGGCTCAGATCTTCAGAGGGATTAGAGCCAAGTCTGTGTTGCCTTGTTCATTCCAGCCTCAGGCATGGTTGTATGGCCTGACCATGTGGGGCAGCTCCTGGACCATCCTCATGGAGTTCCTGCATTGGAAGAGTCTAGCAATACACCTGCCTAATCCCCAAAAGGATTGGAGGTATGGTAATGAGGTCCCAGGAAGCAGGCATACCATCAAGATATTGCCCTTTCTTGATTCTGGATCCTGTCTGGATCTACAGAGCTCTAATCACTAGGTTCTTATACTGAAATCTAGAGGGCCTTTAGTGATGCTAAGGGCTGGGTGGAGCATCTTGTGGTAGTACTGCTCCCCCCAAGAGGAACAAATAAACAAATAAATGCAGCATTTTCCCAGGCTCTGCTCATTTGTGCCACCAACATGAGATGCTGCTCACAGCAGGTTGTGCAGATATTCATCAGATGATTATGCCTCCAGCAAACATAACTGCTGCAGTTCGTTTGGAAGGTTTTCTTTGCAATCACAAGAATTAGAAGAGGTTGTAATGGTGGCTCCTTGAGCTGTTGCAAACTGGTCCAATTCAACATCTGCCTTTTCATCTATACGTAGGATGCTTCTCTGCTTCATTTTGCTTCCCTTCTATCCATGTAACTTATTAGTAAAGAACCTATAGGAGCTAAGTATCCTTCTCCTAGCTATCAAAGACAGTAGCTCCCAGCCATTGACCATTGGTGATGGTCGGACTGCAAATGCTGTATTCAGTTTAGGACAATCATGTTTCTCAAATCTGATGCACATAAACCTATATCCAGCAAGTCACATCCCTACCATTACCCAGGGCTCTTTCCTCCACCCTCTCTGTCTCTGGGTTTTTATTTTATACGTTCTTTGGGCTAAGCACTGAGTCTTCCTAAAAGCCAGATGACAGCAACCTCATTCATCTTGAGTTGTACCATCAGAAGTCCCGTTGTGATAACTTACATATTTATTATTATAGCTAAGGCTTTTGTGAGATACAACTCATTTCCTCAGATGCTGAAAAGAAAAAAAAAATGAAAAAAATGATACAGAAAAGAGACTGTGACATCAGTGCTAATTAAATCAGAATGGATGTGACTCTTCTCCAAGAGTGGAAAGAAGGTGAGAGTATCTGAATGGGAAATTACCTACTGTAATGCAAGAACCACTCCATGTGAGGGTAGACCTTGGTTCAGGGTATCAAATTTGCATATGAATTCCAGCTCAGTGGTTTCTCTCTGCAGGCTGTTTTTGAAGTTTTTCTGTCTGAGAATGGCAACTTGCAAGTCTGAAACTGTGTGCCCAAGGAGGTTAAAAGCAGGATCAGACCCTCTGTTATTTGGCTCTTAAGTCTCCAGCATTGCTGAAATAGAAAGGAATTTTTAAAATGTAAGATAGTATCAATGCTGTACCCAAGACCCAGCTCCATCTTTAAAACATGAAGGCTCAGAAAGCATTGTTGGTGTCCCCTGCACTATGTTGCACTTATCCCTGGACAAGCAAATTACAATGAAAATAATCACTGTCAGAATACTAAAAGTGATAGAAACTAATGTGGGATATTTATTCAATGGAATGCAATTACTAGCGATACTCTGTTTTCTGAAGAGCGTGACTGTAATCCAATTTCATTTTCTTAACCCCTGGTGATTTTGTTTCAGTTTGCATTGTGATAGGCTGAAAAACAGGCATGATAGCTGGGGAGTGTGAGGGCAGGGGCACCACATGGAATCTGAGATCTTAATGATGGACTAAATCTACATCACCACAGGGCAGTTAGTCACTGTGCTGTTAATTGAAAGAAAAACAGAGACAGTCCTGTGCTCACTTTATATCAACATCATTTCATTTTCATCAGTCACCAGCTTAATCATCGATAGTATCATCCAAGTGGGATTTACCCTAGACCTACCAGTAGGAACTTGGATTACAGAGACAGGATTTTCTGAGACTCAGCATCAAGTGGCAATGGAAAGGCACGGCACAGAAGGCAAGGCTTGGTTAAATGAGGTCAGCATTGTTCGTGGTGGGTGGGGTTGCAGCAGTGCCTGATGGGAAATGGTCTTCTTCCCCTCCCCCCTTGGAAGACAGAAGGATCATGGCAGGAGAAGGGAGGAGCATTTCCTTCCAGAGAAGCTGCTGCAGGTAATTTAGGAGGCTAAACACTGGGGGTATGTCTACACTACCCCGCTAGTTCGAACTACGAGGTGTACCGGTAGTTCGGAATAGGAAGCCTAGTCTGAACTACCTAGTTCGAGCCCCGTGTAGCCGCGCTGCACGGGGTTCGAACCAGCGGGGTTTTAAAAATGGCGGCTCCCCGCTTATGCAAATGAAACCCGGGAAATTCAAATCCCGGGCTTCATTTGCAAGTGCGGTATGCCTACATTACCCTCCTAGTTCGAACTAGGAGGGTAGTGTAGCCATACCCTGAGTCAGATTCTGGTACATTCAATCAGGTCACCTAATGCCTTACCCCACTGTGACGGGCCGATGCTGGCCCGCACTCCCGGGGGTCCAGCTGCCCGGGGGCCTTGCGCGGTGGCAGGCAGAGCACACCAGTGCCGAAGCCACACAGCTTACTCCTTTGTACAGATCATTTATGAATACGTTGAACAGCATGGGTCCCAGTATAGAGCCTTGAAGAGCCTTACTATCTACGGGTATGTCTACACTAGCTCGTTAGTTCGAGCTAGGTAGGCAAATGAGGGCAACTGGAGTTGCAAATGAAGCCTGGGATTTAAATATCCCGAGCTTCATTTGCATGTACCCGGGCACTGCCATTTTTAAATCCCCCTTAGTCCGAACTAACTGCCCGCGGCTAGACGCCCACGCTCGGGGATCCCAAGCCAGCCCCCATCACTGACAAGCCCAGGCTCCAGTAGTGACCCGGATAGTGTGCGACGACCACAGAGGGAGCGGCCCGACCGGGCGAGAAGACGTGCAGACGGCTGGCCCCCGGGTTTGGTACGGACCAGCTCCCAACTCCTCCAACTGAGGCACGGTAAGCCGGGCGAATGGACGGATCGTGCAAGGGCGTGGGGTGAAGGGAGGAAGCAGCCCGGGGCGGAAGCCTTCTGGCGCCCGTGGGTAGATGGGTTACGGGCGGAGTGACCCCCGTCTACTGCGCTGGGGCGCGAGCAAGCTCCGACGCTTAGGGCCCCGGGCTGGGACCCGGAGAGAGGGCGGGACTGGGTCCCCCTCCCTCCACCAGAGGAGCATCCAGCTCCGAGCGACGCCGGCGTAGGCGTGTAGCAGAACCAAGTCACGCACCTCCAGGAAGTGGAGGACGGACCAAGGGGCTCAGGCCACACCCCGCACAGACGGGTAACGACTACTGGGTCCGCTGACCCCCCTCTTCATTCCAGGGAGGGGGTGATCGCACCTGATTGCCCAGGCTTCCGACTAGGATCTCAGTCATGAGACGAACCAAAAGAGGCAAAGGGGTCCACTGAACCCCCCTCTCGACCTGGGAGGGGGTGATCGCACCCCAAACCCCTCACACCCACAAGGAATCCTGGTGAAATGAGTAACCCCAGTGGAGGACAGAAATATTATTCGGCATGAGCTGTCAGAATCTGGCTCCTAACAAAATGAAACGTGTGAAAAATGTATTTGTATGCTGTGATCCAGGGACCACTTGATGCTAACAGATAGGCACGGAAGGGTGTATAAGGGCTACAAGATTCCCATAGTTCTGATAGCTATATACTGGATCATAAGGGTGGCCAGTAAGGTCTCCACTGAAAGCCTGTGTCATACCGGTGAGTTAGTCATTGTGAAATATATATCTGGGTGATATGCGAGGAGTTATGTGTATCTATAATGAAAATTATGTTCTTGAGGTCTGTGAGCTGGGGCAGGTCACCAAAAGGGGAGATGCAAGTTGCTTTCAGACAGGAGATACTTAGCTATCTGTCTTATCATAGAACCATAGAGCTGGAAGAGACCTCAGAAGGTCATCAAGTCCAGCCCTTTGCTCTAGGCAGGACCAATCCCAACTAAATCAACCCAGCCAGGGCTTTGTCAAGCCGAGACTTAAACACCTCTAGGGATGGAGACTCCACCACTTCCCTAGGTAACCCATTCCAGTGCTTCACCACCCTCCTAGTGAAATAGTTTTTCCTAATATCCAACCTGGACAACTTGAACCCATTGCTCCTTGTTCTGTCATCTGTCACTACTGAGACCAGCCTCTCTCCATCCTCTTTGGAACCTCCCTTCAGGAAGTTGAAGGCTGCTATCAAATCCCCCCTCACTCTTCGCTTCTGCAGACTAAACAGACCCAATTCCCTCAGCCTCTCCTCATAAGTCATATGTTCCAGCCCCCTAATCATTTTGGTTGCCCTCCGCTGGACCCTCTCCAATGCATCCACATCCTTTTTGTAGTGGGGGGCCCAGAACTAGACACAATACTC